ATAAAATATATAATAAAATATATTTTATATAATAAAATATAATGATAATCAAGAATTTATTTGAAAACATGTTGCAGGATGTATTGCTTTGGAATAATCAAATTTATTTATTTGGTTTGAGTTATTTTTTTTTATTTTGTCCTCCACAGTGAACAGCAGTGCCACAGAGTGGTAAAGGTGCATTATGTTGTCTTTTCCATTGCAATGCATCACACTCTGCACACAGACCTCTTGAGGCGTGTCATGGAGTAAATGTTTAACCATTATGGCTAAGCAGAAAGCAGTCAGTATCTTAGGTTTTTATTATCTGTCTGTTGTGAACCTTGTCCGTCCACAGTGCTTTAGTCTGAGCAGATATAAATGCCAAGCACACAGAACTTCATGAGGTCCTTAAAAGGTAGGGTTTATTTTCTGCTTCTCAAACATATGACTGTTCGTGATTTGAATATTCAAATGTGTAAACATGCACTCCTTAGTTACGGCATAATTCCTCTGTGTGAAATGTCATAGCAGTGATGGTAAGCCAGTTTACTTTTGTTTTGTTTTTTACGGTAAGTGTTTTATGCATAATTATCATTGTGGTGGATTGTGTTTTTCAAAATGCTATGGTATATATTGCTGTCAATATAAAACCACACACTAACTTCAGCTATGTTCTTCCTGGTTAAACATTGCCTTTCACTATTTGAAAAAAATAAATCCACAGGCAGGATATTTTTGTGTGTGAGCACACACTCACACGCATGTGTGTGCACACACCTACACACACAAAGTTGGATTTGAAGAGTATTGTGAAATATTGACACAAAAGACCATGTTTCTGGGGGGTCATTTCCACTACCCATAATGAATGAATTGCATTAAAGAGAACGGAGAATGAGAATGTACTCATTTGCACATTAAAAAAGTTAATGTTTTAAGGGTTCAAGCAACATTCCGTCCTTCACGCTTTATGCTATATCCAGAATCAGTGACTGGCTTAATCAATGTTTATGTGAGAAATAACTTGCATTTTTATTAAAAATTAGTTTATTATGCTTTCATATGCCACAATGCAACGGACACAACTGACATATATTGCATTTTTTCCTTTTTGAATTAAATTTTGCTTCTATGCAGTTGAAACTATGCAGTTTTCCAGCTATGCAGTGGCAAAACAAGTACAGCATGTACATGTCAAAACGAGCAGACAGGAGAGGGTAGACAAAAATTGTATTCACTAATTATCATGAATCTAACTTTATAATGATTGATGATGGGTTTTTATTAGTGATAAAAAAAATAGTTAAGATAAGTTAAGCTGTGTTATCCTTTCTATAGCAGGTGATAGATGAAAAAAATAAACCATAAATAATATAATGTGTGGCCTTGTTTGGCCACCTCATACAGCCAGAATAGCCATGGTGGTGGAGTGGTTAGTGCTGCTGCTTGAAGGTTCCTAGTTGGGGCTTCTTCTTCTTTTTTTTTTCTTCTTCTTTTTTTTTTTTGAGTGGCACTACATGCTCTCCCAGTGCCTGAGTGTTTTTTCTTTTTGTGATTCAATTCAATTCAATTCAAGTTTTACACTAATAAAGAGAAATTTTTAGCAATCAGATGACCCCAATGAGCAAGCAAAAATGGGAACTCTATTTATCAACATCAAATATTAATAAACTATATTTATCAGTATCAAAGCTTTATCATAAGTTTTAAGTCTAATCATCAAAGTAGAGAGGATGTCTGCCTCCCGAAACCAAACTGGGAGCTGGTTCAACAGAAAAGAGGCCTGAAAGCTGAAGTGTCTGCCTCCCATTCTACTTTTACCAACCAACTGAAACCAACTTCTACCAGTTTACTGTGAAAGGACAGAGGTTTTCACAATGCACATGTTGAAACCACCAGAAAAAAAGCAGCTGGCCCTTCAGCTTAATCAGCTCCAGTCAATGTTAACAGGTGACAGGCACACTCATATAACAGAGCTACAGTCACCAGTCAGATTGAAACAGCAACAATAGCAAAGTGCGACCACAGGATGGCGGTAATGTAATGTAATGCAATGTATGATATGAAAGGAGGGACTTTGGTAAGTCTTTATTTATGTCTGTTTTTAGATATGACAAGGTAAGTACTGCTTGCCATGGTTGTCCTGAAAAGTGTATAATTTAATGAGAATTCATTATATCCACAAACTAAGACAGATGTATCTACATGTTGTGTCACTGTTTCTCCTTCAGGTGGCCAGAATGCACAGAAATCCACAGTAAGTTCTCCTTTTGACCCACTAGAATCTTTTATGCCTTGCGATGAACATGAGCGGCCTTTTTTTCCCCAAAATGCTGTTGTAGGTTGTGCTTAAATAAATACATTATTTCTGATTTTTGTCTCCAACTTGATTGCTTGTTGCAATTCAGAAAACCCTTAATATCATGCAGCAATTAAATAAATTTGTCTATTTGTCTCTAAATAAATACTAGTCCACCTGCTGAGACTAAAGCTTGTCAAATGGTAATGATAAATAGACTGTCTCTTGAATAGCAGTACTTTGACTCGTTTTTATACAACACCTGAGGACTTTTTCTATGCTTCTTCTGCCTAACGTGTGAATTGAGCAGCCAGGGATTGAAGCACTAACCTTCCAACTAGTAGATGCTCTACCTCCTGAGTCAAGTGAAGCCAAAACATCTCTATCCCCCCCACTGGTATCTGGCTGGCCCCTCCTATGTTAGTGGAGGCAAGAGTTGTTAAACTAAAAAAAAGTGAATGTGAGCGAGTGAGTTCTCCTCAGCAAAATTCCTTTTTGCCATTACTTCTTAACATGCTGTTATGGGTTCAAAGAGTTACCATTACTGTAATTTTACTATGAGTATTATACTATAAGAGTAACAGGGCGGACACCTTCTTGAGCTTATATGATTATTTAGTAACAATGTGTTTCTATCTCTCTCCACAAGTCAATGGACAGTAACACTAAAATAAAATTTGGAATAAATAATGTTGCTGCTGTTAAACTTCAACAGTCCATTATTAAACACAGTACTTAACGCAGTAATAACCAAAGGTAATATTTTATTTTAATTTTACCGTCATGTAGAGTTAATGTGTGTGAGTGCGTAATAAAACTTAAACATTTCAGATTTTTTCATATCATCCTCAGTCTTACCCTAAAATGTCTAAAAACATTTTCAAGATATTTCGTCAGAGCCATCTCTAGTCACAAAACAACTGATGAATAGTCCCATGTATTTAAGCTCCATTGGGAGATGTCTCATTGGAGGTGGTTCTGAGGGTTAATATGCAAATTATCACATGACATGAGCCAGTGTGTAAAATAAATCATGGACTACCATCTGTGAAACATTGCCCCAGTGCCCCATTATGTGGGCCATCAAGATCACGTAAGGTAAGGTGTGGATTGAAGTGACAGGGCAGTGATGTCAAGATTACATTGTAGTTGGCTGACAGCTAGTGTTGTAAGCCACCACTGGTGTTCGATGTTGGTCATTCATCATGGACATAGATAGACTCCTTTACTGCTTTCAAACCATCTGTCTTCTCTGCCAGTGTTCAAAATATAAACACTGGCATCCTCAAAGGATTGGCCTTTCTCCTTTCAGCTGAGTTTTGTCTTGTTGTGCCATGTGTTAAGTGCTTTCCTCATTTATTTCTTCTGCCTTTGAGGGAATGTTCTCTGTTGGTGCGTTAGAGTCCTGACCACCCCAAGTTTGTGTTGTAGTGTTTGGTGTGAGTCAAAGACTACTGAGCTGTGTCTGTGGGTTTTTGGTAAACTTGAATGCTGAGGCTGGGGTTCTCCTCAGCACAGTCCAGGAGTGGTAACCTATATTCAAAGGATACCTTTTTCTACTGGGTTCAAGCACCGTTAGGTGGTTGTTGTTGCGATTTGGAGAAACACAAACAAAATGGAATTGAAATCAATTGAAGTGATTTTGTTTTGTTCCTCTGAGGAGCCCAAAGATTCACTTTTCACTTTCTCTATGTAAAGATTGACTGTGAAGGGTGGCTGTAGCTCAGGAGATAGAGCACGTCATCTACTGATCAGAAGGTTGATGGTTTGATCCCTGGCTGCTCCAGCATGCTGAATATCACTGGGTTGCTACACTAGCTCCAAGTTGTTCTCCCACGCAAGTGTGTGAATGTTAGATAGAAAACACTTATGTAGGAAAAGCATAATAAACTGTTTGGGTGAATGAGGCAAGTTGTATAAAGCTCTTTGACTGCTCAGGTAGATTAGAATAGCTGTATATAAGAACCAGTCCATTAACCATTGCAATGGGTGACACTATTGGACTTCAATGCAGAATTGTCCAATTTGGTATAGCAATATTATAATTGGGAGTGAACAGGAATATTATACATAATAAATCTTGTTGTTAATCAGTGTAACTAGATGTGTTTCTTATGTTAAATAGTCAACATAAGAAAATGCATATATACCTTCTGTAAAAGGTGCATGTTCTGCTGTAAACAGGCCTTCTCTGTGCTAGTTTTTTATATGAAACTGTATCGTATGCTTTTAAAATTGGAGTTTTAAATTGACTCTAATATCTCCTTACATCAGTTTTACCTTTAATCCAAAGGAAGGGATTGACAACCCAGCTCTGGTCATGACTGATGATCCTGGTGAGATGTACACATCTTTACAAACAAAACATTTCATAATACCCTCCCGCTTCCTACTAGTTGTTGATTTTTTTCCTGTGTTTGCAAAGCCAGATCCAAGCGTGGTGCCGAGACTGTGCCACCTGAAGCGTTCAGAGGGCCAAAGCTTTGGCTTTCATCTGTGTATGTACAGCCAGGGTTTTGAGATCACAGATCTGGATCCATGGAGTCCTGCAGAGCACAGTGGCCTCAAGGATGGAGATCGAGTACTGGAGGTGAATGAGGAATATGTGGTCAACATGGATTTTAGCAGGGTTAGTATCTAGAATTTGTGCAATATGATAGTGGGTACAATGGTGGTTAGTTGTGTTACTCAAAGCAAGCAATGTTTACTCACAGCAAGCAGGTGTTTGTAGCCTCCTAGGGGCCTTCTGTAAAGTTAGCATGCTCTCCTTCTGCCAAAGGCATGGATTTTAGTATCGTTAGTGATTCTGAATTGTCCAACTGTTTAGATGTGAAACCTGAGTATTGACGACCTCCTTGCCTCGTACCAGCTGAGAAAGGCAAAGAGCCTGGCTAGATAAGGTTATGAGTGGCTGAAACCATAATTTTGCTTTCAAGAAAATGGAAGGATGGTTTCATGGTGAGGATTTTCCGCTGTGTGTTGCATCTTTTAAAACAACAGACATTCTGCAAAACAGCTTGTCCTTTCTTACAGTGCATACTTGCTGTACTGCAATTACATTTTTTTCTTGACTTTCCATCCTTTAGAATGTGATAAATTCTATATTATTTGACATTTTTGATTTGATTTGATTTTATTGATTAGCATTCAAATTCAAATCTACCAACAAAAATCTACCATAAAGAAAGAAAGCATGAGACAAGGCTAATCAAAAGGTATTGGCTGAAGCATTT